TTATTATTATTATTATTATTATTATTATTATTATTATTATTATTATTATTATTATTGTTTGTCCCTTGGGTTCCTGGTGGAACATAGGGCTTCAGTTGCACGTTTTCATTGCACTCTCTTCTCTGTAGTCTTTTGAACTTGGCTCTACGTCTCCCCAAAAGCTTTCATTTCTTTCTCACGCCATCTCTTCCATGTCACCCTCCGACACCCAACTCAGCGTTTCCCCTTTGGATTCCACTCGAGGGTCTGGCCTGACGCATGATATCCCTGAATAGTTTTCTCAATGTATGCCCAATCTAATTCATCTCCACTTTCTTATTTATATTTGTTGGGTGATTGGTTCTTGGTTGGTTCGTTGCCAGAGTTCCTTGTTGCTTATTCTTTCCGGCCATCTGATCTTCAGCATCAGTATGGAGTGAGCGTAGGCAGCAGCTGTTGATGAATGTCTGTAGTTTGTTGGAAAGCTTCTACGTGTGCATCTCTGAAACTTTATGGTGCATGTATAGCACTAAGTCCTAAAGCAGGAAGTCCCCTTCTCGACTGGATACTAGTTGACAGTTAGCTGTATGCCGCCCGACGGAATGGATCTGTAAGAACAAGGAAGGATCATGAAACTTGTTACTGCCTACTCATAACCTTAGCCTACACACCCACTGCCTGAGATTCGGATGATGCAAAGGATGAATTCAATCAAAAATATCAATTTTGCTATGTAAACCCAGATGCTCAGGTCTACCCATGCTAGCAGGCAACTTAAACGCTTAAGGAAGAGAGTCGTGCTCATAGGGAAGGCATCTTGGTACCTACGGAATCCCATACCAACTAGCCAACAATGGTGATCGCTACCTACAGTTTTGTTCTGATAGTCACTTGTTTTTCGCCAGCACTGAGCTCATGCATAAGGAAAGACACTGTCTCACATGGTGTCCATCGACAATAGATCAAAAGTGGACGCAAACAGATCATATTGCTATAAGCTGTCGTTGGAGAGGACCGGTGGAGGATGGCGCTCTTTCTGGAGAACCAGTTTGAACTTTGATCACGCGCTAGTACGAAACCCCGTGTATGTCTGCGCCTTACTAATCACAGAAAGCAGGCGTGAGTTAGGCGTGTGTGTGCTCTATTCGAAGATGAGAACGTATCTAACGAGAGATGGCTAAGTATTTTTGTCTGAACATGAAAGCAATCCTCATATTGAGGATGCCTGGAATAATGTTCAGTCTACCGTAGAAGACAGGTGGTAAACTACATTTAAAGGTGAGCAAAAGTCAGTGGATTGCAGCCGCGTCATCTGAAGTGGTTGATGCAAGTAGAGTGATTTCAGCTGGCTCTGACTACGATGGGGAGCAAAAGTAGCTGGAACGTGAACAGACTAGGAGTCTTCAAAATAAGCCCAAGCACTGGTAAACAGCGAAAGCAATATAGGTGGAGAATGAACCAGCACTAATTACCACCTGGCAATTATTTAGGCGTACTAAGGATACTGAAATGTAGAAGATGATGGATATTCAGACTATCAGAGAAAGGGATGGGATGTTAAACGCCTCTCAAGGAGGACTGTTAGAACGGTGGGTGGAATACTTTGAAGCACAGTTTAACTGGCACATAGTAACTCGTCAGTAGCCTAGCATCCACCCCAAACCTGAACAGACTGATGTTGGTCTTTCAACTCTCCTTGAAGTCAACTAATCAATCACTACTATAATAGGTAAGGGCATTATTGCATCACGGTCCAAGTCGCCACACCTAATATCAGAACAATAAAGCAAAAAGAGGAAGAAATAGAGAAAAATTGTACAACAGTAGTAAAAAGTAGTAAGAAGAAAGGTAAGAAGGAAAAATGAGAAAATGCTGAATTCTGTATAACAATTAAGATGAAGATAATGTGTGAAAACATCTGCACCAGTGAGATCGATTCTGACCCATATCACCTAGAGTCATCAACCACTGGTTCCTGTTGTCAAGTGAATACAAAATAGACAGTCTACACCTGTATACAGAGCTCAGACAAATAGTCAAAGACTTCATGCACTCATGACATGTTTCAGTCTCAACACTATTAAACTTCCTCCAGTCTGAACCTACTTCAGCTAACATTCTGGGATGAGATAGAAGGAGACTAGACATTCATGTATAACAAATGTTCAAGTCACCTCAGCCAATGAAGCTTCATAAACTCGTCAACTGACTTTGCTCTCATCTCTAAAACTCAACGTTTGACTTCTACGTAGATGATACGGTGACACTGAGACACATGGCCTATGCTGCGAAGGTAGCGGTGGTCAAATATCTGAAGCCTTCTCTTGTCATCCACCTCTATTGGACATGGTTCACATCCGTACAGCAGAATAGGGCGAACTGCAATGCAGCACACTTGACACATAATAGATTCTGTGATAGCAAACAACCTTGTCTTACTCTTGTCCCCCTTCTTCACTTCAAAGGCATCATCACTGAGCTTTCCATTGTCAACCACTTCGCATGTAGCATCATATGGCATATAGCTGCTGTTGAATGAGGTTGGTAAAGGTTTATGGGACTAAAACCACAGTGTTGAAGCAGCTGCTTGCCAATTACTTCTCGATCGACGCTATCGAAGGCCTTTCTGAAATCTATGAAGTTGAGGTAGAAAGCTGACTGCCATTCTATACTTTATGATGATGCGTAGCGTTGCAATTTGATCCGAACATGATTTGTACTTCCTGAAGCCAGCCAGCACGCAAACCGTTCTGGTCGTAGTTTTGATACCAGCGCATACTTTAGTCTCTCCAGGATGATGCGGCTTAATATTTGGCTTGGGGCGGACGGGAGTTTGATTCCGCGACAGTTCTTGCAAAGACTTAGGTAGCCCTTCTTCGGGAGTTTGATAATGTAACCCTTCTTACAATCGTCAGGTACCTTCCCTTGCTTCCAGACCTTCTGCAACGGTGGTGTGAGCATGTCGGCTGTTATCCCTGCGTCCGTTCTCAAGGCTTCTGGAGGAATTCCCTCTGGTCCTGCTGCTTTCCCACATATCAGTAGCTTTATGGCATTCAGGACTTCGACTTTCATTGAAGGGCTTGTGTCCACTTGTATATCTGTGGATGGGTTGCTGGTGGTATTTCTGGACGAAGTGCAGGTGGTGGTGGTGGTGGTCGATTCAAGAGCTTTTTGAAATGGTTCGCCCATCCTCTCCTTTGTTTCTCTTCTTTGGTAAACAGATTTCCTTCATCATCTCTGTTTGGTTTCATCTGTGTTGATCTCTTCTCAGATAGTAACTTGGTTATTTGATACAATGTTGTCAGGTCTCTGTCTCTCCTACAAACAGCCTGTTCTGCTTCACTTGCTAATGTGTTGTAGAAGTGTCTTTTGTCGTTGCGCGCACTCTTCTTCACTTCCTTGTCCAGTGTTTTGTATGTTGTACTCAGTTCCTCTTCTCGTCGTTCGTCTTTGCACTGGTTCATCTTCTGTTTCATCATCTCCCTACTCTATCAGCTTCCATGTGTCCGTTGAGATCCATTCCTTATCTTCTTTCTTCTTCCTTCCTAACACGGTTATGCAGGTTTCTTTCTACATCTCTTTCAAAAGTTCTAGTTTTCATCCACACAGGTTTCTTCAGGGATGTTGCTCGATATCTCCCAATTTGTCTTGATGGCTGCCGTGAAGATTTTCTTTAAAGTTTCATCCTTCAGTTCAGCTTTTGTTCTGGGTGGATGTTGAACTTGAACTGTGATCTGTCACCAACTTCTCTGAAGGCTTTCAACTTGATTTGGAAGGTTTCTTGCACTAGATAGTGGGTGGTGTGAACCACCTTCATCTGCTCCCTTTCTTCATCTGATCTTGTGTCCAGTAGGTTGGCTGCATCTCCACTTTCTTGAGATTGAGATGAAGTCGATCTGATTTTCAGTGTAGTGTGTCCTAGTGTCTGGTGAAATCCATGTCGCTTTGTGGATATCCTAGTGTTTGAACACACACCTACCTCCAATCACCAAATCGTTGAATGCAAACAGTTCTCCATTCTCATTCATTTTGTAGCGTCACACACTTCCCCAAAATCAATAGCATAGGGTTTGACGACTTTCGGAACTGATGCTTAACTTGATAGTTTAACTAGACTCGCTAAGCTGAGGGCACCCGGTCAATCATCCTCGCCATTTGGCCCGATGTCGTGTTACGTTGCACTGCTCGTATTCGACTCTCTAGCCAGTTAGTTGGAACGCATCGGTATTTTGGCACAACCATCCAAATATACTACTCCATCCGACTACGCTATTTGTTCTTCCTTGGTCTCCTACTCGTGGGTATATAACAAGTCCGAATAATTAGTGATTGGTCTTTGCGTCTGTCAAGTTTGCACCAGGACAAACCCTAAAATTTCACCAAGTATTTCTCAACCCATGATCAGTTCTCTTCCTGTATTGTCCACTCTTAGTTTAGCATTCATGCCACCTATTAGAATTTTGATGTTACCAACTGAGGTCTTGTCCATTACTGATTGCACTTGTCTGTATAATTTCTCCTTTTTCTCTTCACCTGCATTATTTTTAGATGCGTAGTGTAGCATTGCATGATTGTGACCTTCCTTCCTTTTGAGTTGAACCTTGCTGTCATGATCCAGCTGGAGTAGATTGGTTCCCACTGCATGAGAGTGAGCCTTCGATACTCTTGGGGACATCATGATAGCCACTCCATAGCTCAGTATCCTCGTGGTTTTCGTCTGGGTGACCATATCAGAGTAGATTATTGATTCTCCAGTTGACAGTTTGGAGAGTCCAATTCCATCCCATCTGCTTTCACAGATTCATAGCACTTTATGCCATGTCTTCTCATCTCTTCTGGAATCTGGACAGCCTTGCTAGGTTCAAACATAGTGCAGACATCCCATGTCCCCATGTTTACTTTCTCTTTCATTGAGAGAAGACACATCGGCCGACTGGTTTCCCGAAGGCTTCCATCAACCGGCGTCATTTCGTCTCTCCGATTCCAGTGAGGAATAAGTTTTTTTTTATTTTTTATATTTTGTCTATGCTTTGAAGTTCTGTAGCATCATCACCATCATCAATACCAACATAGGATCAGGCATTACTACGTGACGTTCCGAGTTGCCACACCTCATATCAGTACATCAAGTAGAAAGGTAGTAAGGTGAAAGATGAAGATAAGAAAATCCAGTCACAAGAAATAGAAAGTACGAGAAGAAAGAAAAGAAGAATGGAAAAATAGTGAGATTCGGTATAGTGTTAAGATGGGGATAATATGTGTATACATCTGCGTCACTGACATCGGTTCCGGGACATATCCCCTAGAGTCTGTAGTCACTAGTTCCTCTTGCTCCATGGACCCCAACCACCCAGTCTGCATCACCCCACATGGCCCAAACCAACAGTCAAAGACTTCATACATTGGTGTTATATTTTTGTCTGGCCACCTTAGGCCTCATTCTAGTCTGAACCTACTTCGGCCAACATTGTGTGACGAAGTAATCGGCGACTAGGCATACATAACACATGTCCAACCATCTCAGTCGATAAAGGTTCACAACCGTGTCAACTGATTTACCTCTTCTCCCTAAAACTCTACACCTGACTTCTGTGTTACTCACATGGTGACACCATGGAATACGGCTTATACTACGGAGGCAATGGTGGTCAAACACCCGAAGTCTTCTCATGTCTTCCATCTTCAATGGTCGGACTGCTGTGCAGCACACGCGACCCTTAATAGAAAATCGGATATCACGGTGGCATCATAGGCGGAGTAAGCTGGCAAAAGCCAATTGAGCCTTTTGCAGTCGTGCAGAGATCTCATGGCAACTAACCTACCAGGTGTGATCCTACTTCCCAAGTAAGTGAAGTGGTCGACACACTCAATCACGTCACTCTCTAGTGTTAGCTGTGGGACCGTTGAAGATCAATCCTGGAGCGACAATTTGCATTTGGGTGATGAGAACTGCATCCCAAACATTCTCAAATTCCCACTCAAAGTGTTCAGAAGACTCTGCATCTTGTCAGCGTCTTCACCTAACAGGACTATGTCATCTGCATATTCTAGGTCTAACGAAAATTCTCCTGTGATTAGGTCAACGTCTGTGTAACCTGGTAACGAGATGGAGACCTCCATAAGAATATCTATAGTGAAATTGAATAAGAATGGAGACAGTGGGCATCCTTAATGGACACCACCCGATGAGCATAACTCCCCATACATCTCACCATATGCTCTAACATGCCCACAAGTGTTCGAGTAGAGGGCTTTCAATAAGGTGATGTACTTACTAGGCACGCCTTTCAGTGACAGACATTGCCATAAGACTTCTCGATCAACGGAGTCAAATGCCACCTTCAAGTAGAGAAATACAGCTATTGTCGGGCGTCGGTAAGCGTGTCTATGTTCCAGGACCTGGCACAGTGTGAATATTTTGTAGATGCACCCGTGGTCGTGTCTAAATCCTCCCTGGTTTCCTCGGGCTTGCTGTTCCCGAGCTCCACTCAGGCGTTGGACACTATGTTCGTCAGGTTGATTCCTCTGTGATTATCACAAGAGGACTTCTCATCTTTCAGGAAGACTAGAATAATCAGTGATTTAGACCAGTCAGAGGGGATCGTATTTGATTCCAATATATCGCTTAACACTTCCGTTAACCTGACTAGGAGCACCTTACCACCACCCTTGTATACCTCTGGAGTTAGTCTGTCTGGTCCTGCCGCCCTTCCCCGTTTCAGGTTACCTACCGCTTTCTTGACTTCTCCTAGTGTTGGGGAGCCTGTCTCTATGTCCCACTCAGGATCCGACTGGATAGCGGGCAACGCAATGGTGGCTGGAGGCCAGTTAAACTGTTCCTCGAAGCGTTCTGCCCATCGTTCCAGTCGTCTCCCCTGCGAGTGAATCACAGATCCGTCCTTCTCTGTTATAGCCTCACTAACTGTTGTCGACCTTTTGCCCCCAGTTTCCTTAATAAGTCTAAATAACTGTCTAATGTTACCAATCGCCGCTGCCCTTTTCATCTCCTTAGCATTCACTGCCCACCACTGTTCACGTTTGTTGCATAGACTTTTTCTCAGTCTACTTTTAAGTTACGCTCGCTCTCTATTATAGTCAGAGCCTGCAGGCAGGGATGCATTCACGTGCATGCATTAGTTCAGAAGAAGCTGCTTCTATCCATTGGCTCTTTTTAGCCACTCTTTCAGAGTCGGCTACGGTCTTCAGCACTGCTTTTACAGCAGAGTGGAGAAGGCACCAAGCTTCTTTTGGATGAGTGATAGTGTTCTATTCCGATAAGTGCCTAATTTCTCACTAAACACGGCTTTGTTGTTTTCGTTGTCCAGCAGCACTCGTAGTGGTTTTGTTGCCGAATTTCTTCTACGTTCATTGAGACACAGGCATACACGCTGAGACCAACGCATGGTCGCTATCCAAACATGTACTCCAGAAGGAGCGGCAGTCTTCCACCGATCCTCTCCAGCGATGACTAATAGCAATGTGGTCTATCTGTGTCCATCGCTAAATTGAGCTCGGTGGACGCCAGGTCAGACAGTGTCTTTCTTTATTTCTGAAATTTGTGCTAGCTAAAAATAGGCGGTTATCTGAGCATAGTTGTAATAGGCGATCACCGTTATCTGTACGTTCAGTCGGGATTCCGAAAGTGCCACCTAAGTGCTTTTTTGCCTCACTCAGTCTACGCACCTGTGCGTTGAAGTCACCTGCAACAACCACCACGTCCGAACGTCTGGCTTTCGAGAAGAGGTTAGACAGTTTTCGGTAGAACTCGTTCTTCACTTCATTCGAACTACAGTCAGTGGGTGCGTAAGCAGAGATTACAAAGAGACAACGGCGAGTCTCACTATTCCTTTTAGTTCTCACTGTGCCGTTCAGTCAGATAGCGCAGAGGCGACTATCAACTGGGATCCAGTCTAGTAGTGAGTTTTCTGCCCTAGTGCTTAATGCTATGCCTACACCTGCAAGACCCCGAGAGCTAGCTATCGAATCTCCAGAAACTCGAAGGGTGAATTTTGCGGATTCACCAGATTGGTCAGGAGAGGTCAGGTGAATAACCGTACTTGGGTCCTGTATGCGTGTCTCACAAACACAGCACACATCCATGCCCGAGTTGCTAGAGTCTTTGCCAACGAAGCCTGTTGACCAATTTGACGGAGGGTGTGGACATTGAAGGCTCCAATGTGTAATTTGTAGCGTGGTTTCAGGAGACCAAGTATGTTGTTTTGTGGACTCAGATAGTTGTCGAAGGCTACAGAGCTAGGAGAAACTGAAAAGGATGTATCATCGTTAGTTGAGAGATTTGAAGGTAGATTAGGAGGTAATGATGGAGGAGGTGGATAGCAGCCTAAGGAAACTTGAGTGTTGACGGAGTTGGGAGGACGGTTGACACTTTCCGGCTGCCCACACCGTGGAAGGCTATTCCTTCTTAAGGTACCTGAAAGAGATTTGTGTGACCGCAGAACCCATCGGACATCTGCTTGAGGCCTGTCACACGAAGCCTTTTGTGCATGATTATTTTGAACTTTTGTTGTTTTTGGGGCCGGATGGTCGAAAAGAAACGACAAATGAACCAACACCGCCGACCCGGCAGACCATGGGGTATGGTGGAATGTGTTATTTTTGGGCCGACCTTTTCTAACCCCCCCTTCCACTGAGAAGGCAGCATCAGCTTGGCACTGCTGGTCGTCCAAGGGAAACACCTTACTGCTGTCACACCCCATCCAGCTAGCAGCAGTACGACTTCGCCCTCAGACTCCCATCATAGTGTAGCAATTTACACTATAACGGTAACTGCTTTTCGTCTAACCACTATCCAACAGACTTTTCTGGTATGGTAGGACCTCGAGGGAACAAGCGTTGCACCAGCATAGCTCGTTGGGTCATTATGATATGCAAGCCCGACCATCACGTCAAGGTAGCAGCTATCGGTTGGGTTTCTGTAGCGGTTGGATTAGTTTTACGGGGTAGGGTTGCTGGCCCTATGCCCAACTTTGTCTCTTTATCCGGGCTTAGGAATGGCTAGTAACTAGTTAACCAGACGAGGTTTTCCACTTTGTAATCAGGTCACTTCACTCTTTTGTTCTGCGTATCATATAAGCGTCGAATATGTCACGCTCAATCAATGGAACCCAAATACTTACGGTTACAGCATCATCTAAAACAAAAGGAATAACCCAGATATTACAATAACCCTCTCTTGGATAACCATGAGGGAGAAATGTCTCCAAGTCACATGAGGTCGTAGTGACATACTTTCAGCTGTAACGGTACCCAATGAGGATGAAAGCGTTTCACCTTCTTATTAGTGTGTAATAATGATAATGCCTGACAATGAAAAATCGCTCAATTGTTGCAACAGCTTAGGATGCTTTTCTGAACAGTATCCTCATTATTTAGTGCAGTTGATAAGAGCTAGCGATACAGAGACCGTATTCCAAGAAATACGTATATGATTTGACTGCAAATACGTATAAATTAATTCAGTTACTTCGAATATAATTTCAATAAAAACAAAGAATCACCTACAATGGTGTTTCCATCACGTAAATTCCTTTCTCTTTCATTGATGACAAAAATGGAGTTTCAACTTGAACTTGCAATTCTACGGGTATCCGAGACTGTAGATTCTCTTTACAAATTTTCCCCACCCATACGGCAAGCTGACGATTGCTTTCTGAAATCCAAGAATGGATACCATGATTCATTATTTCTTTTGATGAAAGTTGAATCACACTACTTAAAATTACTAAATGAAATGCTTTTCAAGGTATTAAATTAAAGTAGACAGACAATTTTATTAACACTATCCCCTTCTGCACAGTATTTGACTATTTTCGAGAAAACTGAACAAGCGAAAAGGAAAGAGGAGAAAGAATGATATCTTGAGTTGTAAGAAGGAGTGTAAAACAGACGAAAATGTGATGGAAGAAGACTTTAAAACACCTCACAGCTGTAAACCCTTTTCAAGATCGAATTCCACATTAAATTAATTCGATATAGCACACGGCGATAGTGTTCTTTAACTGATGACACTTCGAGTATAAATTAAGTAATACTGTATCACTGTGTGCTACATTAAATAAACATATCTAGTATGGAATCAAATCTTACCACAGAGCCAAACTTGTACACTTGTATCAATGAAATCTTCAAGATGTAGTTGAAAATATGGCGGTGACGCTTCTACAAAAACATGATCATTTTTGAAGTCTATCATGTATAGTCCTCAACTACCTGTCTTGGTAATCTCATGTACTCTAGCATTGGGTGTTATATTTCCTTACATCAACAGGGAGCCTGAAACAGAGCCTTGAATGATAGCATATAGATTCAGACACTTCATGGATTGGTCGCTTGTCTTACCTTGATTGATATCGCACTGATTGGCGACTGAAGTGAAATAGAAATCTGGACGGCAGTCGGGTCTCGTAGCTCAGTTGGTAGTGCACCGGGCCGGACAACCGGAGGTTGCTGCTTCGAATCCTGCCGTCGCTTAAATTTCCATTCCACATTCACCCATCACAAAGTATAAGTATAACATTAACGACAGCATCAGCACTTTACTGAAAATATTAATAATATATCAATGAAGCATTCGAATGTTTGTTTAAGCCTTGTAGACTGACTAACTGACTAAGGTGCTCAAAAAAACAGAGAGAAAATACAGTTGTCAAATTTTACAGTAGTGTAAAAAGACAACTGGAGAGAATGAGTGACATAAGTGTGGGCAAAGTTGTGGGAGAGAATAAGCAAACTTCAAGATAAAGTTTAATGCGAATATTCAAGATATAGAAGGCGTCAAAAAGTGCGCTACTGCTACCAGTTTTCAGGCAAGATACCAAGAATCCTCTATCACTTATTCCTGTCGTCTCGGGGACTCCGACCAGGTAGTTTACATCGCCCCACACAACCTCGTGCCGTGTTTTAGTCTGGCCACTATAAACCTTCTTCCAACCCAGTCAAAATTTTCCTCAACATTGCGTGTCGGGGGGAAAACAGTGCGCAGCCCATATCAAAGCCACTTCAGTCGACTAACGTTCAAAACCTCATCAATCGCCTTCTCTATCTTACCTAGCACTCTTCGTCTGGCCTCAACATTACCCGCACAGTGATTCCATCAAACGCGAGCAATGCTACGAAGATATCTACTATCAAAACCCTGTAACTGCTCCATATCTTTTACTTTTGACGACCATGTCTCACAGCCATATAACGGGAGAGAACGAACTGCAGAACAGTATACTCATCCTTTGATAGATAGTTGGATATCTCGACGGCACCATAGATGGTGCAAGTTGGTAAAGGCCAAATGGGCTTTCCGCATCCGATCTGAGATATCGTCAACAACCAGCGCGTTTAGTGTGCTGACGCAACTGCTCAAGTAGGTGAAGTTGTCGACACATTCCACCACTTCGTTGCCTACTATTAGACAGGGAATGCTTGCAGCAGACCACTCCTGGAGCATCATCTTGCTTTTGACAGGTGCAAAACGCACCCCAAACATACTCGGATTTCTGCTGAAGGCAATCAGAAGACCCTACATTTTGTCAGTTTTCTCCTGTCAAGACAATATCATCTGGATGCTGCAATTCGACCAGCCACCCTTCAAGGAGTAGATTAATCCAATGGGAAGTCAAAGGTAACCAGGGTTGTGTTCATCAGCACGTCTATCATGAAACGGAACAGGGAGGGTGAAAGCCGGCATCCCTGGTGGATACCATTGTTTGTCGTCAACTCACATGACAACTGTCCGTAAGTTCTTATACAGATGCATGAGCTCGAATAAAGAACTTTGAAAGTATTACAAACTGGCTTGGGGCTCCGCTCACAGTCACACACTGCAACAACACTTCGTGGTCGACAGAGTCGAATACCACCTTCAGGTGAAGATATATGGCGAGTGTCGGCCACCGGTAGCTGTATGCTTGCGTTTAAGAATATGTCGGAGAGTGAAAATCTGATCGACGCATCCTCGTCCAGGTCTGAAATCTGACTGGTTTTCTCGAGTTTGCTGTTCTCGACCTCCCGTTAAACGTTGCAGAACTATCGATCCTAAAATCTTGAACACAATCTTAGTCAAGAGAACTCCTCCTTGGTCATCACAGGAAGATTTCTCTGCCTTCTTATAGACTGGGATGGTCTTAGAAGTATACCAGTCTGACTGCACAACGTCTGATTACCATAAGGAATTTCCTACCCCCATCCTTGAAAACTTCGGGTGGTAAACTGTCAAGTCCTGCTGAGTTGCATCGCTTCAGGTTTGACACAGCCTTATCAACTTCAGAGAGAGCTGAGGACCGACATTTACGTCCCATTCAGTTTTAGGTTCAGGCTGGATGCTTGCAAGTGAAGCGTTACTGGGGGCCAGTCGAAGTGTGCCTTATAGTGTTATACTCAACGTTCTAGCCTACTGTTCTTGTAAGCGATTAGCGTGCCATCCTTTTCGGTGATGATATCACCAACCATCTTCTTCTTTTCTTGTCGGTATCCTTAGCAAGCCTAGACATTCGCCGGTTGTTACCCAACACTGATGCCTTCTCTGTTTCTCTCATTCCCACCATCCATCACTACTCGCGATCGACATGAAAACTCTTGGTCATTTCAAGATTGTGTCGCTTACGCCGTTCATTGTGGTCGGAGTTCACCGGAACCAGTCTTCTTGCGTCAATCAGTTTTCATGACGTGGAAATCCAATGACATTTGCTAACCTCCTGGTGTAGGTTACCAATTGTCTTTACCATTCTTTCTACAGCAGATTTAATTTCACGCCAGTTTCCTCAGCATGAGCATTGCTGTCATGTGCAGATACATGCCTAACTAGCTCCTCTTTAAATGTGTACTTCGTGTCATCGTCTACCAATCAAGGACAGATGGGCCTCACTGCCTCTCGTTTCCGGTGATCACTAAGGCGTTAACATGCACGAATCCTCATATTAGCTCCTTCTGGTGTTTCAGAAGGAGCGGCTGTCCTCCATCCATTCTGTCCAACGATGGCTTGTGGCGATGTGATCTATGTGTGTCCCTTGTTGGTTTGATGCTGCGGTACGCCATGTGAGACAGTGTCTCTCCTTATGAAGTAAGTTAGTCCCAGCCAGATATATGTTATTATCCGAGCAAGGTGGCGTCAGATGATTACCGTTGTCGTTTGGGCGGTTTGGGATTTTGCGAATACCTCCGGGTCGCTATTACGATTGTCTTAGCTTCTCTGCTTGACCGTTTAATTCATCTTCGTTCAGTATTACATTTAAATTTACTGCTTCTTAAAGCAAATTTGGCAGGTTTTCATAGAATCCATACTTTGTATCGTATAAATTGGAGACTGTGGGTGATAAGGAGCATATTACGAGTAGAAATCGCTTGTTCTTATAATCCTTCCTAGTCTTTACGGATCCATTTAGTCAAACAGCGCATAGACGTTTGGTGACTGTTATCCAATCAAGAAGCGCACTTTCTAAGGTCAGTTCAATAACCACACGCGGGTCCTGTAGTGTATCTTGGAGATACAGAATACATCCAGGGCTACAGATTTCACAGTTCTGGTGAGCGATGCTTGCTGTCCACTTTGGCACAGAGTTCTGACTTTGAAGGCCTCTATTTGAAATCGATATTAGGATTTTGGAATAGTAGGAATGAGATTTCACTGGCTTTCATCACTGGTAATGGTAGTGGACTGAGAGGTTGGGAAAGGTGTAAGAGGCTTAATATTAGTATCAGGAGATGACGACGAAGGGGAAGACAGAGTTGAGGAGGGTAGTTTACCTTTGATTGGGTTTTGTGTACTACCGAAAGCGTACGGGGTTTGATACTTACCGGCTTCCCACACCTGCGACGTCTAGTTCTTCTTGAATTACCTAAAAAGGAAGGGCTAGTATGAGACCCGGGGCCCACTGAACATCTACTTAAGGCTGGTCACGCGTGATCTTTTGGAAAGTTTGAGATTTCGGTTTTCTGTTCTTGAATCTGACTGGAAATCACTGTTTCAGGCATAGGCATGCTCCACGCAGTGGGAGTATGCCATCTCTGGGGCTGTTCTGTTCTAATCCCCACCTCCCTATAAGGGAGGCAGTATCGGTTTGGCACTGCTAGTCATCGAAGGAAAACACCTTACTGCTGTTACACCCCGTTCATTCAACAGTAGCACTTCGCCCTCAGAACCTTACCATAGTGTAGCAACTTGCACTGTAATGGTAACTGCTAATTATCTAACCACTATCCAACAGACCTTTCTGGGGAACAAGCGTTCCACTAGCATAGCTCGTTGGATTACTACGACAGACGATCCTAACCACCAGGTCAAGGAAGCAACTGTCGATCGGATCTCCAGACAACAGGAATCACGGCTTAGACTGTCTTCGTGATATCACTTCGAATCGATTATCTTCAGTGTCTAACTATATTTACTAACCTTTGTTCATTTATTCTCCTTCTTGTCATACTTTTTGTCTACTTTAACGTGACGTTTTCTCTATCAACTTATTCTTTGCTTAGTAGTGTATAATGTGGCATCTTGAGGCGATGCACCTTTGACCAGGTTCTACGTTGATTTGCATATGTTTATATGTTATATTACACAAGAAATTCGTAGGAAGTGAAATCAACTAATTCAACGTGCTGTCATAATATTAACTAGTTGACTGGTCATATTACATTACACGTTTACTAGTCATAACTATG